ATGCTGGAAGACTGGGCTGCTTGCATTGTGTAATACAATTTCTGTTGGCTGCTCCTGCTCCTGATAGAGTCAAACTCTGGCCAAAAAGTTAAGCTAAATTGCATGAACGCTGAGACTACTCATGGAGTTGAGTATGCCCATTCATGAAAAGTACAGCAAGGGTGAGAATATTAAAAGCTGCAATACTGAGATTTCTCAGTCTTGGGACTCTAGTTAATTTCTCATTTGGAATGAAATACACTTCAGAAACATCATTGCCCTTGCCATGTTGTTCTTTTAACCAGGCACCTAAAACAGTTAAGCTGTGGTTTTGAAGGTGAACTCAAACAAGAAAATTCAAGCTCTCAATACCGTATTTTCCTAGTTTAAAGCTACATTAAAAGCTAGGTATTTCACCCACATAATTAGCTACTAGCTTGTACAGTTGAAGGATGGGTTTCATCCTTCTTTTAACTGAAAGCAGAAGATGTGTTATTGTTGTTCTAGGAAAGCAATATTGCCAGATTTTTCACAGAAACTTGAAAATTGGAGATTCAGTGCATTCTCTGTAGCTTTTTCCTCTTTGTTCACTGATGTATAGATTATACCTCTTCCAGGCCTTTCTTTTCAGTCCCTTTGATTTGTAGGTATTTTGTATGAACTTGATTAGAGTACCACAGAAACTCTAGATGAAAATTTACATTCTTAGCTTCTACCACAGCATTATATCCAATAAATTTGATTTCCTGTGCATTATTTATCTAAGTCTATTCTATGGAAAAAAAAAAAAAGTTTGTTGGAAAAATCAGTCTTAATTAGAAAAAAATATCTATATTTAAGGAAGTAGAACAGTAATAACTCTTAAATGCTATATTCTTGCTACATATACTTCAACCAAATACTTGATAAATACTGAGAAGTTACCTGGATTTACATCTTCTTCTGTGTGGAGAAAATGAAGGAGATAGTTTTACATTCTGTTTTAATTAGGTCAAAATATAAGCAAGATTTACTTTCACAGTTGGTTGTTTAGAGTGCCATCCAGTTTGATGGGGAATCTGGCTGACATGTCTCAACCAGCAGAATAAATCAGAGTACTCATTCATGTGTTGCTACCAATATATATATGTTCCAAAAGTTGAGACTCTTAACTCCTATCTCTCTCCATATGAGGCAGTAAAAGAATTTAAACCTGGGACTCACCTCCAAATGCTCTGATAAGTGGCAGTGGCATCACTTCCCCCTTTGTTGCACCTGAGTTGGAAAGATCTGAGCTACAGACAGACCTCTGAAGAAAAGACAGAAAAGACTTTCTGATGAGGACAGAAAGATTGAGGTCACTGGAAATTGGTGCTCAGCAATGGTGGGTAGGTCTCATATTTCTTCTATGGATAAGGAGTTTTGTCACCCCCTTATTGGGTGACACACCCCCATTTGGGCTTCTGTGTCTCTAACCATTACATACATGGTGCTCCTCATCAACAAGGATTTTAAGCACCTGCTTCAGAATTTTGTTTTCCATTAGGTAGGAAAGCTGTAGCCTTGCAGGACTTGCAAAAAATTGCACTTTCAATGCGATTTGCAACAAAGTCGACATTGTAATTTGCAACATTCACGATAGAGTATAAAAGGTTTGTATCCATATGAAATATCTTTCTTTTAAAGCCAGCCAGTTTGTTGGTTCTGTCTAGGTTTTACAGTAGAAGATCACTCTTATTGGTCCTCATCATTTTAGATTAGGACATATATGATTTTACCATTTTCAAACAGAAATGTCATGCCTGCTGTTTTCAGTTACTGTGCATTACTCCTATTTAATAAGGGGGGAAGTTGGTCTTTGAAAATGCCTCAAGTATCCTGAAAGTGTGAAAGTTAAAGATAAAATTTACCCTAGATAGAGAACAAGAGGATGCTGGAGCCATTCCTTTATTCCCCAGGGAATGAGAGCAAATTTAACAGAATTAATGTACATGCTTTTTCTTGCTTGAAGATTTGTTATGAATGTAAGAGCCACTCAATTTCCCCATGTTCCCAACAGCATGAAAGCAAGTTTTCAGAAAGGACCTGTCTCTCTCAGCTGCCAACATGTTTAGAAAGAGTCTGATAAAGCTTTTTCCCAGAGAACCCTCCCAGCCTCTGTGTAAGACAAAATTCAGACCGGTTGTACAGCATAACCAGTAGCTCAAACATTTCTGTGGTAAACCACCACGTTCCTTTAAGAGCTGCTTCTTTTTGCCACTCTGTTAATGTTCCCAGCTTGTTCCTAGGTAAGAATTTCTTCCCAGGTAAGAATTCAAATGCTGGGAGAGCTGAGCTGGCTGCAGCATGACTCAGTGCCCATCGCCATATTCCTTTGAAGGAAGGATCTGGCAGGCAGCACTGTGTGGAATCATACCTTAAGTATGCACATGTAAATATACAAACTCCAGTCCTGAGGTGTAATTTATTTGAGATAACTCTTTGCTTGTTCCCAGGAGGGTAAGAAAAGAAATCATAAGGTAGTATGTAGTAGTAGAAAGTGTTATTGCCTGGTCATTTCCTTCATTTGCTCTCAATACCATCTGGATTCTGTAGGGTCAGGCACAAACCTTGCATCCCATCTTGCATCCCATTTAAGATGGTAAATTCGGACAATCTCCACTGAAGTAACAGAGAAGTGTTAACACAAAACCAGTCAGACTTATGGGACTTCAGATCCCATTTTATGAAATCAAATTTATATGTTTAGAATGATGTTCTTTGGAATGTGCTACATTAAAAATAAACATTTTGTGTCCTGCTGTACAGCGTTTACCTAGAGATAGAAACCTGCTTCTTACACCTATATTTAGGGACCATTCTGCAGCGACTTCCCTTATACATTGGGGAAGTTGAGTTGGAGTAACTCCAGCTACAGTGTGTGACATGATGCAACCTTATTGTAACTCATCTGCAGCAACAGCGCATATTGCAGCAGATATGTAAAGAAATAGATTCTGGTTTCCTAGGATCTGTGTTTGAACTCTGAGCATGTATATGATTCTGTGACAAAAGCCATTAAATTATATTAATGCTAGATCTATGGTAACCAATATCATGTGAATGTAATTTTTATCTGGATGTTGAATTCCTATTTATTTTACATTGTAGGATTCATTACAATAGTGAGCTACAGTATTTTGTATAGCTACTAAATAAACAGTGTGTATGAGACTCTGCATGGTCTGTGAAGGAAGCTTCTGGAACCATCCCTTCCCTGTTACACAAAAGGAAGAATTCAGGGGATACAAAACTAGTCATTGTGTTGGAGGAAGTGGTCTTAGGAAAATAAGGAGTCTTTAAAATACATCCGTGCCCCCACTCAGTTTCTGGCTGAGTCACTGATTTTCTGTGCAATCCTGGACAAATAATTTTGATTGTATCTATAGTATATAATGTAGGATCCTGCAGAAATACCCACAGCGACTTTGGCTGAACTTTGAGAACTATTTTTTCCCTCACCTCAATGAAATTTTTAGGTCAAAAAGCTGGGACAGGTCACATAGTTCATGTGGTACTGGGATAATAAACTGTACATTTATCAAATTGGGTAGAAGACACCAAGCTATTGACACTTTAGGGGAAAGATTTTTTGGTTGGTTCATTGCTTGGTTTGATTTTGGAAAGAAAAAAAGCAAGTACCTTAATGGGAATAGGGAATTTTAGAAATTAAAAACTATTCTTTTTTCTGAATCTGTTTTTCTTAGACAAAATGGAATTCCTCAGAAAATTTCCCTGTGGAATGACATGACTGTAGATCTGGAAGCAAGCTTTTTTTCTGTGTTTCTTGTTGCACTTTTGCCTATGAATACACAGGACCATGAACGTTTCAGGGAGGACTGTGAACTGAACCTAGCCTGACTGGTTTGATGTCCTTATCAGAACAACTTTGCCATGTGTTTGAAGAAACAGCAGGTTGACCTTGGTGGTCCCTGTTTTACAGGATTGGGAGTATCTGTGCTTCTAGCTGGGGACCCTGGTTGCCAGCTCCAGCTGAGGTGTCAGCAAGAACAGCCCCAAATCTTACTGAATTCCAGTGTAGCCAGCAGAGCTGCTGCCCAGTCACCCTGGGTCCGTGCAAAGATTTAAGTGAATCCCAGCACAATTCATGAGTCCCCTTCTGTGCATCCCCTTGGGCCAGAAGCGCTGCAAACTGGGAGTGACAGAATAGCTCCTGAGCTCCTCCAGGGACTCCTGCTATCCTTACCTTGCCTCTGTGTGAGACATCATGTGTTTGGACACACAAGATGTCTCAGCTGTGCTACTCATACCACCCAGATGTGGGCAGTAAGTTTTTGTGTGTGTGGAACTCCCTTCTCTGTGGTGAGGAAACCTTTAGTGCTGTGTTCTGGTAGGAGATGCTCTGGCTGCTACACGGCTCTGCACATCTCCCTGTTGTGGCACCTGCGCACTATGTGCTGCCTGTGATCCATCGGTATGGGGCCTGGGGTCAGGGTCTTGCTTTGAGATGCAAGTGCTGTGGCAGGGAGCTAAGCTGGAGACATGAGCAAATGCAAAAGGTGTCTGACAATTCTGCACTTCTTGAAGGTTCTTATGGCTGTTATATCTCAGTAAGAGGGTGACAAAGGGGAAGGAGAAGTCATCTTGAGCCAGTGGGAAGGGGCCATGCAATAGCCACAAAATGAGCCTGCTCTTCTGTGAAGTCTTTTCTTATCTGAAAAACATCATTTTTAAGCTTATAATCTCACTTTTCCATGTTGGCATGTGAATAAGTCTGTTGTTTAAATACTCTGGAGAAAATGAATGTGGTATTTGTGTAATATGTGGCATTTTAAAATATGGCCTAGATATTTAGGAAGCCTTTGTACACCCACCTTTGCTACCCCCCTTTTAGCTGCTCTGAGGCTCTTTCATAAAGTTCTCATTTTACTTAAAAAACAAGCAAACAAAAAAAACCAACAAAACAAAACCAAACAAGCAAAAAAAAAAAAAAAAACCCAAACAAAAAAACAACAACAAAAAAAACCCACCCCAAAACGGATTGTTACCATGTTTGTGCTCTGATATTTTTGCTTTGTCTCATAGGAAATAGCTGGTTTTATGCTAACCCTTGAGCTCAACGTCTTATCCTACAGTTTTCTTCCTGACTGAAGCTCTCTGATCTTATATGAACAAATATCTTGCAATTACATTTCACAATAAATGCAGACACTGTGCAACAAACCCATGGCAGAACTAGTTGTGATAATGGTAGAGAATTATAAGAAACGCTATATGAAAGCAAGAAAGCAGTTGCTCTTCAGAGGCAGAAAAAGAAAAAGCAGAGTGCAAAGGTGGGCTGAACAGTTCAGAGGTAGAAGGATATTCTGATTTTTTTTAAAAACAAAAGTAACATTGATGCTTTGCTCTTTGCTTTGAATTCTTTCCTTTTTTTTTTCTCTCTCTGCACTGGACATGCAGACATTTCAAAGCAAGGTAAGACTTTCTCATCTCTCTGTATTATTTTAGGGGATATTTCTTTTTAGTCCAAATGCAATGGTTTGCTTCCAGATGCAAAACGAAAAGCCTTCACCCCCACTTTTGAATAGGAATCACTTACTCAGGAGCAGACCATATACTTGGCTAAATATTCCAAGCAATTCTTTTAGAATAAAAATGTAGAGCAGGAACTCAGATCCAAATTCCTCTGAATTTCAGGAATACTCCAATCCTGTTTCTAATTGGTGCATTTTTAAATTTGTTCCTAGCAAATGCCAAAGGCATTATTTAAGTGTAAGACAGTTTGTTAAATAGTTACCACAATTTTTCTCTAAGCACTTTGCCCTTAAGAAAGTTTCTACATATGATGAGAGATGCCTGTATAGCCCCAGACAGACTTGCAAACTGAAGGAAGTGTTTTGGATGTAATAACTATGCAGTAGTACAGAAGACAATCTGGAATATTTCAGCCACCGTCCCTCACTGTTTTATAATTAGTTACCTTAGTTTAGATGCCAAGCATAGAAAATTATTATCCTTCTGTACTGCCATTTCCCATTACTATTTGGCAGTCTTAATTTCATTATATGCTGAAAAAAACCCTCTCTGCTAACTCTGCTAAAGAAACACAATTGTCTTAGAAAAGTAGCTAAAGCATGTGAGGGTTAAAAGTAACTTTTTTCCCATAAGTGTCATTCTCCAAACTTAGAATTCTTTAATAGATGCAGAGCAACGCAGAAATGAAAGCATTTTTAATTTCAGTGCTTTGTATATTTACAGAGGGATTACAACAAACTTCTACACTTTATCTACATTTTAATAGGTCAGCATGAACATATGAAGTGTATTAAGGTGGACTGCCTTCCTTATTAAACTTACGTGAATTTGTCAAAAGCCCTTAGCTGTTGTATGCAATAGGGGCTGAAAAGCCATGCATGATTGAGGTCATGCATCCAGCCAGTTTGTAAGATGATCCCTCTGCACGGAGCCATCAGCCATCCCTAGCATAGGGGCGCACTCATACACGCATTCCTGTCAAGTCATCTTGTGAAAGGCTGCTTGCTTCCAGCTTGGCTTGAAAGTGCAACCTTAATAAAACTCACTGAAGCCTGAGAGAAAATAGCAGTTCTGCAGCAGATAGTGTAGGGGAAAGAGACTGGGATATGCATATGCAGCTGACTAAAGCAGGCTACATGCTGGACTGTAACAGAGAGGAAACAATAAATCTTAACTACTATGCAATAAATATTCCCAATTTTAACTAAGGAATCTATCCTCATAGTGAAATTAAAAAAAAACAACAGTTTATCCAAGCTTGATTACCAAAGTGCTCTTCTCCAGTCCCTTTTCCAAGGACTTCAAGGGAAATTAAGAACAAATTTAAAGACGAAGAAAAAGTTTTTGTTAAAGCAGGAAAGGAAAGTAATAATAACATGTCAGTTTTCCTTTCCTTTGCTTTCCTGGCAGCGATTCTTCCTCATATAGGCTGTAATAGCCAGCGTCGGGGTCCAGAAGCCAGTGGGAGAAGATTTAACCGGATTCAGCACGGGCAGTGCACCTACACTTTCATTCTGCCAGAACAGGACGGGAACTGTCGTGAAAGCACGACAGACCAGTATAACACAAATGCTCTTCAGAGAGATGCTCCTCACGTGGAACAGGATTTCCCTTCCCAGAAACTGCAACATCTGGAACATGTGATGGAAAATTACACTCAGTGGCTTCAAAAAGTAAGTGTTTCTTTTTTTTCATTTCTCACTAAATGGATTTTTTTTGTGACCCTTATGCTGTTCAGGGGGTTTATTAGTTTCTATGAGAACTGAGGTAATAAGGATTCACCTAGTTCATGGCTGTGTAGGGGAGAACTGTTTCAGCCAGAGTGCACCATTCTTGGTGACATTGCTTTTGGGAGCAGAATTTTCCTGTTGTGAAAGATGCAGCTTCTTGAAGTTTTATCTCAAGAGACTGCGGATGTTTGTAAGCCAGAGAACACAAAAATCCTCCAGAGACTCTAATGACAGAACTTACTAAGTATTCCTGTAAACTGTCTTTCAGCTCACAGCTTCAGGTCACATGCCATGCAGGATACCTGCTACTCTGACAGCAAGAGGGAGCATTTAAAAAAATCAGCATTTAAAGGCACTGGGTTAAGAACATCATTGTTCCTCTGTAAATAGATCTATATAAATTGTTCCACACAGCTAATTGTTAGAAAGAAAGAAGAAAGTATATAGGCATTCACAGTCCTAAAACACCGCAGTAAAAGTTTTTAACTGTGTAGATTACACTGGAGTTCAAACAGCCCGTTTCAATTTGTGTGTGTATATGTGCATTCTGTCATAGGAAGGGAAAAATGGGTTTCAAGGTGTAGCAGTAACTTAGCAGAAGTAATTACTTTTAAGAATTTGTGCAGTAGTTCTAATTTTCTAATGAATTTTTCACTATTTTATGCATTAGCTGAAGTTTGGGCTTGAGAAGACATAAATATGTGAATAATTCCACTCATATGAGCAGTCCCATTCACCTTAACAGGATTACTCACTTGTGTAAAATTACATACCTTGCAGGATCTTTTCAATGCCTTGGTAATGAAAATGTCTTGGGATAGCTGACCAGTAAAAATAAATAAACAGTCTTTGTATATAGTTGTTTGTATTATTTCAATTCTCACACTGGCATTTTGACCTGGCAAAGCAGAAAATTGGGCAATTGAGGGATGTAACTGGTTGTGTAAGATGTCACAAGAAAACTACTGTATATACACTTTTGAAAGATACATTATTTAACTCTAACACAAGTTCATCCTAAGAATGAGCATCAATAAAAATCTAGTGAAGACTTGACTTGGCGAGCTAAAACTTCCTATTAGCATAGTTAATTACCTGTGTTATTTACAAGTTTTGTTTCAGCAGGCAGTATACAAGACAGAAATATGTTAAAAAGCATATACAGTCATTCCCCATCCCCCTAACACTCCTAAAGTCTTTAAAGAGGATTTCCTGGTCTCTTGGTAAATTAATTGTGCTCTTTGCATATCTGGCTGTAGCAAGAGAGAAAAGCCCCTGTCAGTAAATATGTAACTGTAAAAAAAATATAATCAAACATTTACTTTTTAGATTACTTTCCTTTTCTTTTTCTTTTTTTTTAAATATCTTAGTCTGCTTTGGGAATATAATGCCGGAAATGAGGGGATGCCTTTTGCAGAGGAAAGCATTTCTTAAGAAATTATTTTACTATACCTTGGGAGGGCTGAGGCAAGCACTAAAAAGAGGAAAGTTGTTATTTGTGTTTATACACACATGATTTTACTTGAGTAAAGTGCCTGCTGGATCAAGCTTATAAGACTTATTCTGTGTTTGTCCACTAGAGACTGAACTAAGATCACTGTTTCAGTGTGAGCTGAGCACGAAGAAATATGAGTCTGGAGTGTGAATGTCTGAGTTAGGGTTAGTCCTCTCACACTTTGGAGGGAAGTGATTAAACAGGTAGGAAGACCAATGAAAGGGCTTTATATTTGAGGACTGTTTTTTCTGCAGTTATTGTTAAACATACTATGGGCAGACCTATCCCCCCTCCTCCTTTCCTTCCCAGCCCCCAAGCCTCTGCTCCCAGGGGTTTACATAAAACTGGGATTGTGCACATATCCCCATGTGTCAGTTTTCCCTGGAATAAAAGGACTCGTTTCTCTGTGTGATGGAGTATGGCTCGCTCTGAACAAATGAGGCTGATGCAGCTCTATTATAGCATCTCTGAATACTGAATTTGCTTTGTGGTTTTTGCCATTACAAAGCATCTCAGCCATAACTCATTTCCTTTCTAAACAAGCATAATGTTGAAGTGCAATGAATATATTATGTAGATAACTCGCATATCATTTTTATACTCTGCATTTATTTCCCTCCCTATATTTTTAATATCAGATGTAGCTGCTGCTACACTAAACAGTATTTTACAATTGCACCTGCAATAAACAAAGAATAATTTATAGTTATAGGTCTATGACTGGAAGTGAATAGCTAGAATAAGACATAATGTTTAAGAATTTGAGATATATTCTGGCTTACATAATGGAAATAACTTTATTACTTCAGGTTATATGTATAACTTTCATTAAAGTTGTCCATAGGCTATGTTTGAGTAACTTGTTTTCTCAGCACAAATGCTAGCCTGCAATATTGAAAAACTATTTATTTAGGAAGTTTGGGAGAAACAGGATTTACTTAACTCTGTTGTATCTGAAAATGGTTTTCTTTGATATCTAGACTAGCAGATTTCTAGGAGCAAAGCAAGTATCAAAGTAAAGTAAGAACACAAGCCTGAGTGAAGATAAAAATGTGCTTGTCTGGGGAGCCAATTACTGGCAATTAAGTTGCAGCCTTGTCCATTGACATTTGCATATCTATAGTCAGCATAACAGGGATTGGTTGGCAAATCAGGGACCCAGCAAAATGCTCTGCACAGAAACTATTTGAAAGAAGATGACTTGGTAAACATTTTTAGAGATTTTCCTAGAACTGTTTATTTTAATACCGGATAGCTTTCCCCATTGTTTAAGCTTGGGTTTCATTTCTGCAATATGTTTATACTAATAGTTCAAAACAAACAGTTCATCACATTCTCCTTGCAGTAACTGACTGGCACACGTGATGCTGTTTGGCATTTAATTGCAGTGTCTAAGTATTACCAAAGAGGAGTTACATGAAATGTTATCATCGTGTCTTGCTTGGGAACTTTCTGTTAGTCAGCTTGTTGAACTCAAGGCATCAATAGACTCTGTATACATTCAGAATAGCTATATAGATGAGTTTTTCACATACTTATCCATCAGTCCAAACAGTAGTAATAGTTGTTATTACAGTAGTGAATTTTACATGATCTACTCATTCTTTTTTTCCTGATCATCACCTAGGCAGAATAATATAAAAGTTTAAAATTAATACTTAATAATAATATACAATAAGAAGCTAACACAGCTGTACAAGTTTGAGCTGAAAGTGAACCACAACTATTCTGTCAGCCAGATCCCAGACTTAGATTTCTTAGGTTTTAATTTTTTTTCGTTTTCTCTGCAAATATTGATGGCATCGCTAGACTTAAACCAAATAAAGAAGCTTCCACTCACTTCCCTTTGCCTGCAAAGTGCCTGTTCTGTCACCAACTATAACAGAAGTATAAAATGATGAGCTGGTTTCAGTCATTAAAGAAAGAAATTATGAGCATTTTTTTTCTGGGGTATCTATAGTCATTTGATAGTCCACTTTAAAGTTTATTCTTCTCATTGTTTTGATAAATCATTTGTCTATGGCATTCTTTGTGCTCTCTGTTCCCTATTTTTACAGACATAAGATCACAAGTGCTCACTTGGGTTTTAAGCATCTAAGGAATCTAGGTTTTGAAGGAGACCAATCATTGTATAGAAGAAAGTAGCTTTTGGAAAGACTGGTCTCTGTCACTGTGTGCTGTGGCTCCACTGAAAATTTGAAATAATAATAATAATAATTTGCTTATGTGCGTGGATTATGCCTTGGATTTTATATTGTTTGCTGAAGATGGGAAAATTGCTTATATGTCATTCTTGCTGTGAAGCTGTGTGAAAATGTGACAGAGCCTGCCCTGAAGAGGGCATACCTAGAGATGTCATAATATCCTATGAGGATAATTTATATTAATACAAAGAGGGAGGTGGCCATAGAGTGTATAAAATTTTGTCACATTAAGAAACCAATATTCCCTAGTTGAATGAATACAAGAAATAGTAAAAATTTTATTTATGCTTATGTCTCACTAGGGATTTTGTAATGTGGCATCTGGCCTTAGAGTCCACATAACATTTGGATGTTAAGTGCAACCAGGAGATCCATGATGAACTTCTGTTAGTTTTCCCAAATAAAAGCAGATAATTAGATTTGGAATCTACCATTGTTCTTGTGCTTATATTACTGACAGAGCTGTGTAAGGAATGGCTTTTCAGTAAATCTTCCCTTTTCAAGGTGGACCAGGGCTAAAAGGAAACAGTGAAAATGTTTCATCCAAAACTGGCCAGTAGCCTCCTATTTGGCATCCAGCTTGAATCTGGATTTCTTGTCTAGACCCAGAGGCTGTTTACTATTTTAGGTATTCCTTTTTTCTTCAGAGTCAATGAATTCTCACATCCAAAACAGAGCCTCATCCTAGTGACCTTTGAAATGCAGTTCTCACAAACAAGATTTGAAACAAATGATGGGATTCAAATTAGTGGGATTACTTATATATTATGTCCTAATCAATGATTAAGTATATAAAAATGGAATTTAAGAAGCAAAAGTAAGTTCATGGAAGCAAACTGATTCTAAGAAAATTCATGTTTGAATATAAAGCTGAAATTGCTTATTTACCTCTAAACAATCTCTTGGCTAATAATGTGCCTGCATTTCAAAGCAGTATTAACCACACTTCTGAAGTCATTGGGATAATTTGAGGTACCAACAAGAAAGGGACAAGACTTCAAATGTGGAAATGCCTGAAAGCGTTACATTTATTTGAGGGATAATCAATTTGGCAATGTTGTGTTTTTTTTTTTTAAGAAGCAGAAGAGCAGTCTCATATATGCCACATTTGGTAGAAAATTGCATAAAAAAAAGAGTATTTCCCAAGCTTGGACAGAAGGTTTTACATAATGTGCAGTGGAACCTGAATATGTTTGTTTCCAGTGCTGACAGCTGTAATTAGGAACTTTCTGGTAACAATAAAA